TTAGGTTAACTGCTGATTTGAAATTGCGCATAGGTGTGAATGTAAGTGTGAACGTTGTCTGTCTCTATGTGTTGGCCTTGTGATAGACTGTGGACCTGTCCAGGTGTTTACCCTGCTTCTCACCCGGTGGCACCTGAATGACCCTGAATTAGATAAGTGGAAGAAAATCAATGAACAGGTGTCAGCTCTGGTGTGTTTTGTACACATTTTTTTACAACAATCGTCTTCATCCGATGAATGTCCCCGTGTGCGTTAGCTACTTTCCTGGAGGAAATCCTGCACGGCAGACCCACTCATGTGACTTTTTCTCCCGTTTACAATTTTCCGATGGTTAACTTTGAAATGTCAGTGCTGTCACTGTCCTGCATTGATGCCCTGATTTCCCATTGCTGTAACCCGTCCACCACAACAACATACACCTAATTATATTAGCCCTAATTAATTCTCCTGCTGAACTAAATCAAACCAGACTCGTTCAACTCACTGTGTATGTGTCGTGTACCTCATTAGATACACTTTTTTAACAATTTTAATTGGGCTCTAAATCAGTGTGTGTGTTTTTCACCAAATGAGGCCATTCTGTGGAGGAACCGAACATTTACATTTTAGGAGACAAACTCCTGCTCTAGACGATCACAAATACCTGCGAATCATAGTTAAACTTTAATTTGAGTTTCATTATTACATTTATTCTGGCTGACTTTATGTCCCATATTCATTATTATGTTACAACATGGTCTAAATGGTTTAAACCTGTTACTGTTTTTATAAAAAAGAACTTTAAAAGGTTTTCAATAAATAACCATCGTCATTTTTTTATTTTACAGGAGCGGAGATCACTCCGTTTTTTTACTAAACATACTGCCATTTTGCTTTTATTATCCAGCCAGGAAATACTGATGAGCTACAGGTCTGTTTACTAATGTACAGTGTGCCCATTAAAAACAGACTAATAAATACATACATAAAAGGAAAAATGAGAAACTAATAGTAATAATACTTACATTAATAATTAAGCTAGTTGTTTTTCTAGTTTTTAAACCAGCATCTATACAAAACAAAAGCTAAAGGCATAAAAATATTAATGTGGTATAATATTATGTTATAAGTGCTTAATTCATCATTTATATATCACTCCTCCTCCTTAGTGTGTCATTTATAAATACAGGTATGTTTATCCATCTGTTAATGTTACACCATGTACAGCTATCGCTGCCGCTACATCACTGCTAGTAAGAATCTTAATAGTAATCACAAAAACATGGTCATAATAATATCTGTATTAATAATAGAATACTAAGGAGGAGTAATGCTGTATAAATGATGACTTAAGCACTTACTAATGACTTAACGATGCTTAATGGTGTAAAATTATTATAAAGTGCTACCAAATTATTTAAGACATACATTTTGTGATTTGTAGCCTCGTCCGGGATATTAAGTACCCGACCATGTGACTGGTTTTCGGGAAGTGGACTTACAGTCCAACAATGCAGCTGTACAAAAAGCAGACTGATGAAGAAGTCAAACTA